CACCCCAAGGACCAACTCCCCATCGCTGAAAGGTCAGCGGTGATATACCGGATTAGATGCATGGACTGCCCACGCAATTATGTGGGGGAGACGTCCAAACGGTTGGGGACCCGCATACATGAACACAAATTGGCGGTAAGAAGGGGGGAACAGCGCTCGCAGGTCTGGTCTCATATGGCTGAAAGTGGCCACCGCTTTGACTTCGACCAGGCCCAGGTCTTGGCAAAGGATAACACCAAAGGGGGCCGGCTGTTAAAGGAGGCATGGTTTACGGAGGAGGAATCCATCAACCGCCATGTGGAGATGTGCCCGGCACAGCAGACACTTATATATAATATTACAAAAATAAATAAAATGACCTTTGGTTAATTATTTCCATCCATATTTGAGTGGTTTATGAATGAAATCCATATGAAGTAAGTATGTTATTACTAAGGTTGGTTACACAATCAGCCAGACATTCAGACTGGATTTGATATTTCGTCCAACTATCGAGTCCTCCTAAGAACTTCATATGGATGCTTGATGGTGTTATGGTCCAGATATCATCATAGGATGTAAGCTATTTCAAGTAAATGGAAGCTATTTCAAATAAAACTGCCTTTTGCAATTTACTGATGGTGAATTTGTCAATGCCGATGGGGTTCAAGTGGTGCTGCAGTTGTTTTCGTACTGGATAAAATGAGCTTTTTACTATTGGTATTAGCTTTGCTTTTTTGCCACAGTTGTTCAATTATTATTATTATTATTATTATTATTATTATTACTATTACTATTACTATTACTATTACTATTACTATTACTATTACTATTACTATTACTGCTTACATTTGTTCACCACTCAACACTCTGTTTCCCAAATTTGTATTTTATATCTTTATTCTGATACTGGTGGCCTATCAACCATTTCTTTACTTTCAATTTATATTTGCTTTTGCAGATATGGACCAATGCTTTCAGTGCCCAGAAGATCAGTATCCCAACAATAAACAGAATTTGTGTCATCTGAAATACATAACTTATCTCTCTTATGAAGAAACGTTAGGAAGCAGCATGACGACTATGGCCATTATCCTTTCTCTTGCCACAATTTCTGTACTAGGAGTGTTCTTGAAGTATCACAACACTCCTCTCATTAAGGCTAACAACCGCAGCCTCTCCTACACCCTCCTCATCTCCCTCCTCCTCTCTTTCCTTTGTCCTCTGCTTTTCATTGGCAGACCCATGATAGTGACCTGTCTCCTTCGACAGACGGCTTTTGGGATCATTTTCTCAGTGGCTGTTTCTTGTATATTAGCCAAAACCATCACTGTGGTTCTTGCTTTCATGGCCAACAAGCCAGGATCAAAGATGAGGACCTGGCTTGGGAAAAGATTGGCTCTTTCCATTGTTCTCTCCTGCTCCTTCATTCAAACCCTTCTTTGTACAGTGTGGCTGGCCACCTCACCCCCTTTCCCAGACTTTGATATGCACTCCTTCATTTCTGAAATTGTTGTAGAATGCAATGAAGGGTCAGTTGTCATGTTTTATAGTGTCTTATCTTTTATGGGCTTGCTGGCTATGGTCAGTTTTATTGCAGCTTTCCTAGCTAGGAAGTTACCAGATGCTTTCCAGGAAACCAAATCCATCACATTTAGCATGCTTGTTTTTTGCAGTGTCTGGATGTCTTTTGTCCCTGCCTATGTGAGCACCAAAGGGAAATACACAGTGGCTGTGCAAATATTCTCCCTCTTAGCCTCCAGTGCTGGGCTTCTGGCCTGTGTCTTTTTCCCCAAATGCTACATCATTATTGTAAGGCCTGATCTGAATAAAAAACAGCATCTAATAAAAAGAATTATTTAAGCAATCTTGTCTTATGTCTTTCTCCAACATGAGTCTGGCATTTTGGTATGAAACTCATGAGGCATTAATTTTGAGAGATACTTTAAAGTTCAGATAATCCATTTCATGTAGTTGAAGAAAGCCCATATATCAGCCAAAGATAAAAAAAAATATGCACTGGAATTTGTCATGATTGTCCTTACTACGTAATGTTCTGAATAAGAGAAACTGGAAGCTGTATTCTCAAACACAAGTTTGTTTGTTGTTCAGTTTAATAATTTTGGAGGCTATTTTTTAGTTTATTTAACCTGAAATCTTGATTATATTGTCTTAAAAGTATTTTATAAAATGTTTATAGAAAGTTACCTAGAATTAAATTAACTAAATTTTCTAAAAATAGATAAAAGAAAGTAAAATAGAGTACTAACTACTGAATATACTAAAAGCAAAATAATAAAATAGCTATATACAAATTAATTGACTACGATAAAGGTACAATACTTTTTAAATAAAACAATGTAATGCTGATCTACTGAGTAATGCTGTATTCATAACATGCTAACATTATATACTTTTAGAGGTAGATATTGAATAGCTAGTCAGATAGCCAGTCAGTTAGATAACTAAATTGTTTGCTAGATAGCTATATAACTTGAAACCTAGATAGCTAGATAGCTGGATTGATGACAGATGGATGGATGAGAGAGAGAGAGAGAGAGAGAGAGAGAGAGAGAGAGAGAGAGAGAGAGAGAGAGAGAGAGAGAGAGAGAGAGATTATTGATAACTGATAGATTTCAGTGACATATGATATGTAACAGAAAGCATAAAAACATAGAACAGCATAGAATGCATGTAAAATTTTGGATATATGTGAGGTCCTTCAATAAGAACAATAATTTTCTGCCTAAGAAATGGTTGCTGAACTAGTGACTCTCCTGGAAATATCAGGGGCCTAGACTGATAGTATAAAGCAAATAAAATCCTACACAGAACTTATGAAAGATTTACTAGGGCAGAATTTAAGATGCTGTGGAGAGGAACTTTGAGCTATATATGTTTATATTGAAAATGGATTGGGGTTTAAAAAGTATTTAAAAGTATTATCTCAGCAGGTGTATTCTTGCTTCCTTTAGTAAGAAGACCCACTATGTCCTTAGTGTTCTTGTTTGTCTTTTCAGAAAAAAGATCTAATTGGTTCATTCCAGATTCCAGAGAGTTGGAATATTATTCCAAGATATTAAAAGAAAAATGTGTTCTATATTATTATTGTTGTTTTTTTTGGCAATGACTTTTGAGGCACCTAAGTCCCTTTGAAAAAAAACATCATTTAGATTTTGGAATAGTTTACTATGAGCCTCTCCTCCCTACAGAAGTATCCCAGGGGATGTAGACTTCTTCTGAAGCCTCAGGAAAATGTGGCTATTATATTTGGTGTTCTGTGAGGCATCCACGAGGCAGCAGGTGAACAACAACTCTTTATTAAATGTTTAAACAAAAGCCTGGATAGCTGCAGCTCCACCCCTATTTATACACTCAGCAACTAGGTGGCAACCAATAGGATTCAAGTATTAGTTCCCACTTTAACACAAGATAATTAGCATGTAGACAGCAAGTCTGGCTCTTAACTGACAGAGTCTTATGACCATTTTTTCAACAATTCCAAGTAATTCACCTCAATATGTTACAACCCTTCCCCCTAGATAGTTCATAAGGTCATATGTTGAACATAGTCCCTTAAATATGTTAGTAGCCTTTTCGCCCATTCCAAACGCCTCAGAACTGCTGGAGGCCCCAGGTCTGTCAGCTCGCCTGCCGGGCTTGGAAGACCAGGGCTATGGGACCCATCCATCACAGGTAGATTTGAGTCTCTGTGTCTGTGCTGTCCTGGTAGGCCTGACCCAGTGTCCACAGGTGGAACAGAGTCCACCAGTCCTGAAAATGGAGCCATCAGCTGGCATTGTCCATTGGTTGTGGTATCAATGGTTGGGACTGACTCACCAGATGCTTGAGTCTCGTCTCCTAGTCGGAGAACTCCACCATTGCTGGCAGAATCTGATGCACTACAGCCATCATACTGCTCCTGAGTTTGACTGTCACTAGAGTCATGAGTTATTGGCTGGTTTGCTAACCTCCACTGCAGTTGGTCAAGAAAGTGGCCCAGTCACCTTACAAACCACAGCTACTACCCACAATGCTCCTTGCCTGTAGTTCTGTGCCCAAACTGGGTCACCCACTTGCAAGTGCCATGCTGCGTTTGGCTGTGTTGCTTGAGAGGCAACTCTGGATGTAGGCAATCCAGCTTTGTGATCAAGCACCGGCCCCATCTTAATTCTGCTGAGTTTCTGCCCATGGAAGTGCATGGGTTTGTGCGTTGGCAGAGTAGAAGATCTGCCAGTCTGTGTTGCCAGTTATCAGTTACTATCCGCTTCAAGGAATCCTTAGTTGTTCGGACCATGCACTCTGCTTGGCCGTTTGAAGTGAAAAGGGGCTGATGTGGTGTGTCTGATCATATTAGCCCTTAAAAAGGACTGAAATTCTGAAGCAATAAATTGGGTCCCATTGTCCGAAACTATCACATCGGATAACCCATGTGTGGCAAAAATCCTGCGCAGCTCTAACCTCTTGGAGTGACTGTCTACCACAATGATGAAGAGTTGTCCCTGGAAAGGCCCTGCATAATCGATGTGGATCCTGGACCAAGGGCATGTGTGGTTTCCCATCGGTGGACAGAGGCATGGGGCACCTCTGGTCTAGATTGCTGGCAAATATGGCAGCTGTGTACCTGAGTCTCAATATATTTGTCCAGCCCAGGCCACCAAAGGTAGCTTTGCGTGAGTGCCTTCATCCAGACTATTCCTGGATGTCCCTCATGTAGAGACTCCAAGACTCTAGTCCTCAGTGATTTCAGGACTACCACCCAACTACCCCACAATATGCACCCCCTGTGGGCGGACAGCTCATCCTTCCTCCTGCTGAAACTCTGAAAATTAGGCCTGGGACTATTTTCCGGCCATCCTGTGAACACCCAGTTCAGCACATGGCTCAGTGTTATGTCTGAAGCTGTCTCTGCAGCCACATCCCCTGCATTAAGGGAAGACTCGGGCAGGTCCTGAATAGCCAGGATGTGCATGGCTGGTGCAGGGTCAGGCTCTAACTGCGGCAGGGGCTGTCTGCTAAGGCTGTCTGTGTGGCCCATTTCTCTTCCTGATTTATGAATCAAACTATAATCATACACTGACAGGAAAATTGACCACCTCAACATCCTAGGGGATATGATCTGGGGTGTTTGCTTGTTTGTTGTGAAACACCCCAGGAGTGGCTTATGGTCTGTGAAGACTGTGAAGGTCCTACCATATAGATAGTCATGAAACTTCTTGATCCTTGCCACTATGGTCCAAGGCCTCTTTATCTATTTGAGCATAATTACGCTCTGCAGAGGACAATGTCCTCGAGTAATAGGCTATTGGAATTTGCCTTCCGTCAGCCATTAAATGAATCAACACAGCCCCAGCCCCATATGGTGATGCATCACAAGGGATGCTGACAGGCAGTTTTTCGTTAAAATGCATCCAAACTGAATTTGAAGACAGCAGTGATTTGACTGCTGAGAAGCTCCTGGTCCACTTCTGCTGTGCATGTTTGTCCAAGAGCCAGTGTAATGGCTCTGCAACTGTGGCCTTGTGAGGTAGGAAGGCGTGATAAAAATTGAGCAGTCCAAGAAACGCTTGGAGCTCCCCCTTTGATTTTGGACTGGGGGCCTGCTGAATTGTTTTGAGCTTGGATTCAGCAGAATGAATGCCTTGGGCATCTATACGGAAACCGAGGAACTCAGTTGAAGCCACCCAATCTTACCTTTCTCCCACTTCAGCTTCAGTCCTGCTTTGCAGAAGTGCTGAAGGATGGCCTTGAGCCATTCTGACAATTTTTTGACTGATTCCCCAGCTATGACGACATCATTGAAATATGGACATATACCTGTAATACCCTTGAGCGTGAACTCCATCACTCCCTGGAAGAAGCCTGAGGCAACACTGACCCAAATTATAAGCGCTTAACCTTGAAAGCTCCTCTGTGAGTAACTATTGTTTGAGCTTCTGCCGTGGCATCATCCACCGGCAGTTTCTGATAGGCTTGAGCCAAATCTAACTTAACAAAGATGCGACCTCCCTATAGTGATGCCAAAATGTGGCTGACTACAGGCAACGGATATGCATGTTGTTGGAGTGCTCTATTGATAGTGCACTTGTAATCTGCACATATTCGCACCTCTCCGTTGGCCTTAAGTGGCGTAACTATGGGGGTTTCCCATTGACTTCTATCAACTGGCTGCAGGATGCCTTGTTGCACCAGCTTGTCCAGCTCTGCATTGATCTTCTGCTTGAGGGCAAAGGGCACTCTACGTGGCTTGATCCGTATTGAAGTTATGGCAGGATCAAGCCGAAGAGCTATGGGAGGACCCTTATATTTCCCTAAGTGAGGGCTAAAAACATCAGCAAACTCCTGGCAAACTGATGCTAAGTCCACTGCTTGTATGCTGTTTATTCCACTTACATGGATTCCCAATGCATCAAACCAATCAAGCCCAATGAGGCTTGTGTGGTTGCCCTCAAATACTACGACTTCCAGGGGCCCCACAAATCCATTGAAGTGAACCCTGAGTGTAGCTTCCCCCTTGACTGTTACTCGGGAGTTTTGAAAATCAGTTAACACGAGGTTCAACGGCATGAGCTTGACTCTTTTGCCGTTGCGACTGCAAATGTGTTTGAAAGTCCCCTGGGAAATGCTCCAACACTGGAAGTTTTTAAGAAGAGACTGAACAGCCATTTGTCTGAAACAGTATAGGGTTTCCTGCCTGAGCAGGGGGTTGGACTATATCAGGGCTTTTCAACCAGTGGTACGACCATCCTAGAAAGATGGTAGCCGGGGAGGGAATGAACTGAACCAGTAGCAGCACCAGACAAGCCTGAGCGAGAGATAGCTGGAGCTGCAGGGCTCAGCAGAAGCACCAGGATCAGCGCCAG